ATATTTTTAATGAGAAACCTGGGCCTAGTGCCCACTCCTTTTGGTATTTGTTCATAGCTTATCTCAAGCACCTTTAACAGTGTGTCCCCCATAATGGGCACACAAGAACATCGTTCTGAGCGAGCATTTTGGCTCAAGGATCAGCCCCACAGAAGTGCTCCAGGAGTGACGGCACGGCAGGGGACCTGGCGGCACTGCAGAACGGCTCAGACTTGCAGTTCATCGAAATGCAGAGTAGGTCTTGGGGGACAGGCCAGTCCCAGTCTGTGCGTAGGCCGTGTCCCAGGAGCGGGACCGTAAGCTGGCTGCCAGCGTCTTGTAATTCACAGTAGTCAAGGAAAGCTGTGTCCCAGAGATTGGTTAGTCCTCCGTTAGTCCAGAAGAGCAGTCCTGGTCAGTGATGGAGCCAGCAGCAGCTCCTACTAGTCTCTGTGCTCCGGGGGATAATGAGAGGACTTGCCCCCTGCTAGGCGAAGTGATTTCTAGAAACATTTTGCAAATAGTGACATCCTGACAGTCCTCTTCCATACCTGTGTCAACATGAAGCTCAGTGCAGCACCTTTCTAATTATAATTTTTTTTCATGGAATTTATCTTAGAATAATTGGAGGGATATATTTGGTACTAACTCACACTAATGTTGAGTAGTTTCAAAGTGTTCTCCCAAGTTTTTTTGTTAACTCAAATTAATTTTTATTAGATAGAATTTAAAACAAGGCCACAAAGTAAGCCTATTCAGTGTACCTGAATGATCCCAGTTTTCCTCCCTTTCTAATTTTGACCCCATGTTATTTTAAAATGCCTAATGTATTCACAGTAATTCCCATGGTAGGGAGAGTTCGGAAACAATTCATATGTAGTTAGATACTGTATAACAGGGGTCCCCTGTGTTATGGACCAGTACCGTTTCGTGGCCTGTTAGGAACCAGGCCGCACAGCAGGAGGTAAGTGGCGGGCAGGCGAGCAAAGCTTCATCTGTATTTGCAGCCGCTCCCCAGCGCTAGCATCACCGCCTCAGCTCCGCCTCAGATCGTCAGGTGTTAGATTCTCACAGGAGCACCAGTCCCTGGTGCCAAAAAGGTTGGGGGCCACAGCTATATAATTCACGGATGGGAAGACTTTTATTTTTCCAATTCGAATAGTGGTTTTTCTGATATCTTATTTTAAGATATTGGTTATTCCATGGACATTTCCTCTAAATATTCTGAATTAGGCTAAATAGAAAAGACTTTTAGGGTTAATGCTTATTAATACTATTAATACTAACTCTTGAGGTTGGTATTAATAGTCATTTCCTTTATCGGATATCTATAAGGACCCTTGTGATACTTCCTGGTGAATATTTTGTTGTAGGAATATCACTTTGACATAGAGGGTAGATGAAGACAGGGGCATGAAAAAGGGCAGGTTGACTAGTTAGGAGGCTGTGATGGTGAGCTGAACCAGCACAATGGCTATCAACAGTTTTAGAGAGGGAGCGGGTATAGATTTGAAATAGATTGGCCTAAGCAGCAAAATCAAAAAGAGTCATATTAAGGGGGAATGCACATGCATTTATGTGTGAAGCAGAGAAAAGTACCAGCTCAGCCATGAAGGTGAGCTGAGCAGGACCAGGCTGGGCCTGGCTGGTAAAGACAAAAGTGGGCAGCTTCCCTGCACTGGAAGGGCTGGAAGGAACACTGCCTGGCTGTTGAGTAGGGTGTTTCGGAATGGAATTTCAAAACGTGTGAAATGGCTGAGGTAAAAGACTTACACTTTTGAAAACAGGAAGGCATGGGTGGTTTGGAGAGTGAGAGAGCAGCAGCACATTTTGATAATAAATTGCTGGGTTGAAGAATTAAAAACTAAGATCCTGAAGCTTCTGTTTTAGAGGCCAGGAATAGGGATTGCTCTCTTTGACTCCCAGAGGTGGCTTTAAGGAGCGGGTTTTATAATTCCATTACTTTTAGGACAACAGTAACTATCCAGTTAGAACAGCCTTTTGCACTGAAGATTTTAAAGGTAGTTATAACCTTAGTTATGTGGAACAGAAAAGTTCTTGGGTTATAATTGGTTTATCTCTTGTAACCTTATAATTCCTACCCTATAATCATTTCAGAGTGATTTTTGTTAAATTCGGCTTGCTGGAGGGATTTTTTTTTCTCCCTGTCATTTCTAAACATCTTTTTAAATGATTTAATTCTCATATATTTACTGATTTATAGCTCTACCCATATCACATTATCATGCTTTTGAAAAGCAAATATTTATTAAGCATATGCTGTGTGCAAAGTACTTGGCTAGATACAGAGTAGATTCCAGAATACTAAGACAGAGCCCCTCTCCTTACATACATATATAATGTTAAGAAAGCATGATAAATGTTAAAAAAGAGAGTACAAATAAAATGCAACAAGGGAAGAAGTTACAGCTAACTAAGGAGACTCATGAAGGAGGTGAAAATTTAATGTAACCTTGAAGGCTGCTTAAGACTTAAATCAGAGGGGAGAAGGGGAGGCTTGAGGCATAGAGAGCAGGAGGACTGGAAGGTGGCGGTGGGGGGACAGGGCTGTGGCCAGGGAAACCGGAGGGCCCAGTCCTGGGGTCACAGAGGCTCCCTGGGCCACAGGGCTGCAGATAAGACTCGGTGACTGCTCAGTGCTCTACCTATACACACCATGGGGCGAATAGTGAATGTTCTTCTAACTCCTCATCCAAGGGATGCTGTTGGAACAACAAGTGCTAGAGCTTCTCGTATCCACAGTTCCAGAGCCTCAGCTGCCGGAGATGCTGTGCTTTCCCCGTATGCATGTTTTGTCTTCTTAAACTGCATGGTCCTCTCCGGTGCTGCAGGGGGCGTCACTGCCTGAGATGATTCAGATGACTTTACCTGAAAGATGATTCATTCTTCTCTTCTGTTCTAGGAGATGCCAATAGACAAATTAGTGAATACAAGTTTAAGCTTTCAAAAGCAGAACAGGATATAACCACCTTAGAACAAAGTGTAAGTACTTCTATATGGTACCAAGTGATTTAAATTCCTTGAAAACACATCTGCTTCCTGCATCTTAGTGGCTAACCCCATTGAGTGCCTGGGTTTCTTTGGGCTGCCTTTATAGTTGGATCTCTAGAAAAGCTCTATATTAAAAGCGGGAAAGCAAGCAGAGAACACCTGGCAGGGCACTTCAGCCTTCTGTTTTCTGTAAAAATGTAGAAAACTGTAGCTATAATTCTTATTGTAGATATTTCACAAGAATTCAAGAAGATTGTAGTTTATAACAAAATGCCTTATGGTACATTTCAACACGTCTAAAAACTTTTCCATTCAGAGTCTCCTCCTGTGATGTTACTTTGGCACTTAAACAACATAGTCATCATAAAACTAACATGGGAAATCTGCCCTATAATAACTCTATAGCTGTAATCCGTTGGGGACATTACTTGATTTATAAATAGCAGTTGGGCTCTGAAAGGACCCATGACTCACCCTAAGGGGACTTGTTAGTGTTAGATTACTTGGAATTTAAATGACATTGCATTTCCACCTTGGCTGCAAAAAAGTAGTGGCTCCCAGTGCCCATTACCAGAGGCCCCTGTTCTCATTTTTACAGATTAGTCGGCTCGAGGGACAGGTGCTCAGATACAAAACCGCTGCCGAGAATGCTGAGAAAGTGGAGGATGAACTGAAGGCGGAAAAGAGAAAGCTACAGCGAGAGGTATTTGTTTTTATATGCTTTCTGGGATACATTCCTAAAAAGACAAATTCCTCTGAAAATAATTCTTTGCTGCCTAAGGAAGTTGATCCTGGGTCCAATCTTAAGGAAACAGCAGTGGAGTCACTTATTCTCCTGTTGGTTTTTGACCTGCACAGTGATTGCCATTTACTTTTATGTTTTGGTCAGTTCGATAATAAGAAAAAGAATAGTTTTTATTTTTGTTTTAGATCAGGTCTGTTTCTCCAACTTCTGTATGTCCTGCCCGTGATTAATGCTCAGCATCATTATTTAACCTCTAGCTGACTGAAAAAACAATTTAAGCCGTGGGATGCTGTGCAAGGCCATCAGTTGGCAGTGCTTCCGTTTCCCAAAAAGTTGAAAATAAAGTTCCTGGGTTTTCTTTCTGACCCTGTGAAGTGACTTGAGTTCTTCCTGTCTCCAGTTACGAACAGCATTGGACAAGATTGAGGAGATGGAGATGACCAACAGCCACCTGGCCAAGCGGCTGGAGAAGATGAAGGCCAATAGGACAGCACTTCTGGCCCAGCAATAGAGAGGCCACCCTTCCACCTGGGGGCTGCTTCTGGGGCTCCACCCAGAAGGACTGACTTTTTGTCCACTGACACAAAGCCTTTTCAGTACTGTTTGAGTTTTGTCATTAACATAGCCACCTTTGTATTTTATAATTTATGAGAGAATGAAACAGTTTTGAATCTTCATGGATGAACACTTTGGATTTTGTTTGTAGTTTGATTCTAGACTAAGAACTGGTCCATGATGTTTTTATTTTTTATTTCTATAATTTTAAAATCAAGTTTACTCACCATTTTCCCCCGGCTGCCTCAATGACTGGGCACTGGGAGGCCTTGGCCCGGGTTCTAGAGGACAGCGATTCTGTGAGCGCTGAGATACTTGCTGGAGACCTCAGAAAACACAAGTGCCTTCCCCACAGTGCAATTCAGACTTCAGCTCTCTCCCGTGGTCAAAAGACATTTACCCTTAATATCAGATAGCATTTATATTTTAGTGAAGAAGAGTTCACAGGTGGGGAATATATGTTTCATTCAAATTTATATGTTTGGAGGAAAAGCCTTTTTTGTAAAATATTTATATAAGAAAATGTTAGAAAAAGATATGGGGAGTGTATATAAAACTTGCTTTATTGCATGGGGCAGGGGAAGTCTGAGGCCTAACACTCTTAGAGTAAGAGTAGGGTCCTTAGTCTTCAACATCAGCTGTGCTGTATCTTGTAAAGTATTTCATCTGCTGCTGCTTTGTGGAACGAAACCTCAGACAAGCCCAGTGGGGAGGAGGGCAGAGCAGGCAGGTGGGAAATCTGCCTGAAGGTTCTATTAAATACACCCTTTTGCTGACCACAGTTGGCTACTGGCACATTCATTTTGTTAGCGGGGTCTTCAAAGCAAATCATGGCAACCATGCCCTCTTACCTTGCTTCTCTTCTCTCCTTTCAAAGGAAAAATAATCTGGAATATAGAACTTTTTAAGAACTTTCATCTCTAAAGGTACCCAGTTCAAGAGGTTTTTATCATCGAGTGTAGCCCCTTTGCAGGATTTGTGATTCTCTTTTGCTCTCAGAATCAAGGTGATTTTGTGGAAATGATTATTGTATCTTCAGTGTGTTTACACAGAAAAAACACTGAGGAAAGTCTTATGAAATGAGGTCACAGAAGAATAAATTAGACCAGAAACTAGATAATAAAGTTAACTCAATGTGAATAAAACCTCTAATAATCATTCCCTTCTTTAGAGTAATTAGCCCTTTGTTTTTAAAATATAGAAACCAATCTCCTGAACTAAGATGATTTCCTATAGATTTTCTTTCTAGTAGTAGTAACCACAGTTGTTCGTGTAGGAGTGGGGTGGGGGGCGGCATGTGTGAAATGCAGATTTATCCTAGAATCCCAGTCAGAACCAATACACTGTGTGGTCCAGCCCTAGAGGCCTTGGAAACCCCTCTTCCTCTTCACCTGCAGTCACGTGGCCTGTGCCCCTCCCAGGCTCCTGGACTCTCACTTCTGAGATGCCCTGGTCTACCTTTCGGAAGTTCCCGGTGTTAGAACCTGATCTTGCCTCTTGTGGCAGAACAAGTATGTCTGTCTCAGTCTTTTCCACATGGAATGGCTCCACTTCTTCATAAGACAGAGTTTTCTGTTCTTTCCAACAGAACTTTCTTTATTTGAGTCTTGAAATCTGGATTTTACCTCCAAACTATAGGCATTCTTCCTCCCTGTGCACACTGCACATTTGTTTCTATTAATGCAGGTTAGTATTAAACTAGCTTATTTTAATGGCACTTATAGTTTAGCTTTGTATTTTTACATCATTCTTCAAATAAGAATACCTAGAGCTTTCTTTATCTTAAGCTGGTAGTAGTCATAAGTCATTAACAAAGTGGGCTACCTTAAAAACTCATATTGGACAAGGACTATTTTCTCAAGTCTTTTTTTTTTAATAAAGAATAAATTCGTTACTCTTTGGTTACTGAAGGTATTAACAGATTATAAATTTAGCTTTCTCCATAGGCAGTGTCATCAGAGCCTCTAATATGTTCAGGACCTCTTTTAAAAGGCACCTGAACTAACATAATATCTATCGCATGATCTATGAAATTTTCAAGCACTTTTTGGAAATCTCATCAGATGCTCAGGGGGCTTTCAAATTGCTTTTGGGATTCTTCAACACAATCAGATATATACTAAGTGAAAATCAATCTAGAAAAACTTTCAAGTTTAATGAAATTAAATAAGAAATCATGTTTGACACATCTGACAATTTATTTAATCAACTCACCATGCATACGGAGTGCTACTAGTTAGTGTGAGTCTTCAACCTTAAGACCTACCAACATCAGGATACAAAGGAAGAACAACACAAGCAGAGTCCACAAATGACCATATTTAACACCTCTCAAAGACTTTGTACAGATCGGGCAGGTTGGCAAGCTGCAGGATATTTCCATCTTCCGTGAAATGTTTAGGAGGCAGAAGGTGTGAGCGGAAGGCTTTATAGACAATGTGTTCCACAGTCCACTTCCAGGGGTTTACTGTCGACCCAGGCACTTCACTCTGGAAGACATGTTTGATGTCATAAACCTCCCCGTGTGCATCCCAACGTACACTGGCGTCCTGGCTGACATGCACTGGGCTGGGAAAGTCTTGGTAGCTTTTAACGGCCTGCGCTCCCTCGTGCTTGTGAGGCGGCCTCTCTGGGCCGGCTTCCCAGAGAGCCTATCAGCCTGAACGTGAGAGACGAGATGGGGGAAAAGAAGGAAGCCACAGCTCTCGAGACCTTCTCCCCTGGAACCAAGTTCCCATGCAGGGAGGAGGAGTTTGTTTTGGCAGGATCTAATAGAACGTCTTATCCTGACTGTCATGTTCAGATAGCACCACTAAATTTGGGGGTCTTCATGCAGCCCTGTTTTCAAAAAGCTGCACAGGTAAGAAATGAAAACAATGAGGATTATTGTGCTCCGCCCTTCCTCTCCCACATCTGAGCCTTAGCTGTCTCATGGACAAGAAAATGTTCTTTCTCATCCATCCTTTTCTTGAAGTAAATTTTCTCAGTCAAATGCCATACTCTCAGCACAGTTCGGTAAATGTGCTGCCTTACCTCCTCCACTGGCCTGAGATAGTCCCTGGGGCCTTGGCCAACAGGACCTAGGACTGAATCTCTGCTCCAACACCTATGCATGCCACCTGTCCCTTCATTTCCTCACCTGTGAAAGACAGGACCTAGGACTGAATCTCTGCTCCAACACCTACGGGCTCTGGGAACCGTTATGCATGCCACCTGTCCCTTCGTTTCCTCACCTGTGAAACGAGTGTATCACTTCACCTCAGAGGATGACTGTAAGTAATCACCGAGCGTGGTTATGGATGTAAGGTCACTACCTTTAGTTCTTAAGACTATTTCAATCCCCAGGGTCCCCACCCAACCAAACCCTCCGAAATAGGTGCTGACTGAAAAACACTGTCATCTAATTGGAAAGTGATGAGGAAGCATAAGAAACCCAGGCCCTTTTTGCGTCAAGCTGACTTTCCATAAGAAAAGCTGTCGTCTCACCTCACTCAGTCCAGCTCTGTTTTCTTGGGAAATCAGTGGTTAGGTGTAGAATAAGGCAAAAGCTAAAAGAGACCAGGGAGATTGGCCTGGAATCTGAGGACTGTGGCTACACGTAAGGACTAACACTGGGAGATAGGACTCACTGGCCCTGGACAAACTAACTCAGCCCCTCATCTCTTACTGTGATGGCTTGTGTTTTTACAGCTGACAGTGGGATCACTCTCTAACTGATCTCCAGCAGAAGAAAAAACTCATGAATAAAAGCTGACCATTGTGCTTAAACCTTATGTGCAATGAAATCCTAGGAATTTAGAGATGGGCACATTTCATCTAAAGGTGGTGTGAGAGCCCATCCCATCCTGGGTGCTAACATGCATCTGCACAGTACCTGCTGGCCTGAGAGCGTCGACTCCTCAGATACGTACTGCTTCCGGATGGAGTAAAACATAGCACATTCTTTACTGAGGCTTTCAAAACATTCCTTTTCTTCGTCCCAGTTCACCTGATCCAAAGAGAATTCAATACGTCAACATAAGTATGCGTTTTAAACACACTTCATTCTAAATATAGATCACACGACTTTAAAGCTAAATGCGACTTTTTAGGCATTAAAGCTATAAATTGGAACTGCTGAATACTGCTTGCGGGGAGATGGGGACGGGAGGGAGCCTTTAGGTATTTTACCCTTTCTACCTTTATCATTCCAAGTAAAGGTGGGGCCCGGTGCCTCCCACCCCCAGCACCCACATACTTGTTAATGGCTTGATCACTTGCCTCAGTGGCTAGTCGAAGAATGAAGATAGGCAGACCCTCTAATGGGGGCACGTAGTTGTCGATCAGAAGGGGTAATCCAATCAGGTTCCCTTCCTACTTGCAGGAAAAAAGGTCAAGACGAGGGGACAAGAAATAATGCTATTATAGTTTAAATAAATTCCATTTCCACAGACCCTCCTCAAGATCTTGACTGGCCTCATACCTGTCATTCTGGTGACCAGGTGCATGACTGGGCTACACACTGGGGACAGGAGAGCTAAGCACTTAAAAGAGTTTTTTGTCCTGACATGTAGCAGAACAACCTTTTCTTCAGATGTGCTCACCAACCAAAGAACATATCAAGAACGAAAACCCCAAAGATCAAGGGGTAAGAGGAGAGTGCGTGGCTCAGCATCATCGCATTCACTATGGCCCGCAGGCGCTGTGGGGTTCAGCCCTCCCTCCTGCCTGCATCCTTCACCCTGGGAACAGGAATGGGCACGAATGGGTGATAAAACTGTTGTGTAACTAGAAATGCAAATGCCGAGTCTCCTCCTGATCTTGGACCAACTATAGAACTTGATTCCTACCTGAAGAATACAAGAGACACAAAAATGGCTGTCACACACCTCGTCAATTTCCAAAGAGAAGTAGTCTGCCAGCATCTCAGTCTTCTTTTTCAGAAACTCAACTATGTATTCGGCAAGTCCTTCCTTGGGGCCATCTTCCTCTGTCCAGCCACTCTCGGGACTGTCTAGAGCGAGCATGGCGAGGTCAAAAAGCGGTGCCGGCTCCTGGGGAGCAGCAAGAACATTAGGCAGCAAGCGTTAACAGGGCGCCTAAATGAAGCCTGAGCTCCCACGAGACCAGTGTCAGAAAAGCCACAAAACCATGACCACAGCAGGAGGTGGAACCCACCAATCTAACACTTCGCACAGAAACAACAAAACGCACCACAAAACCTCTTTCTCCACCCATGGCCCTTTCAACAGAGAAGATGCGACAGACAGACAACCCGCTGAACAGGTGCGATGGGTGAGGCTGTGAGGAAGCACTTTCTTTTTGTGTAGCTTTAAGGACTCCACTTACTTTCACATTTATAGAAAATCACCAAGCAGATCATTCATTTCTTTCTACTGCCTTATCCATAACTAAAGCAAGGGAGGGTGAATAGGTTAAATAGAATGACATTTCAAGTAAATTATCTGATTAGGAAGAAGACTGAAATCTATTGTCAAAAATAAGATGCCTAAATTTTCTTCCATTTCTCTCTTTCTGACATGGTTACATTTTCCCTTTACATGTTACAAACCCATAGTACACTGTTTTTATTTTTTCATAATATTTTTCAATTATTCAAAAAGACCTAATAATCCTAAATGTTTATACACTCAATAACAGAGCTTTAAAATATGAAGGATAAAACTAACAGAACTGCAAAGAGAAACAGACAAATTCACGATTATAGCTGGAGGTTTTAATACCCCTTTCTCAATAACTGACAGAACAAGCAGACAAACAACCAGGACATAGAAGATTTGAGCATCACTATCAACTGATATACATGCCATTTATAGAACATTCTACTCAACAAGACCAGAAGACAAATTCTTTCCAAGTACACATGAGACATTTATCAACATAGACCGTACTCTGGGTCGCAAGACATCTCGACAAGTGTAAAAGGATTCGAATATGTTCTCTGACCAAATGGTAGGAATCAATAACAAAATCTCTGGAAAATCTCCAGTAATCACAAACTAAATAACATACTTCTAAATAACTTGAGGGACAAAAAAAAAAAAGGGGGGGGGGAATTGTAGAGTATTTTAGACTGAATGAAAATAAAAACAACTTATCAAAGTTTGTGGGAAGCTGCTAAAGCAGCACTTAGGGGAAAATTTATGGCACTTAACATC